CACTGGCTCTAGTTAGGGCCATTTTTCACAAGTTTCGCAGACACAGTAGTTTGTCCTACATGCTTAGAAGGACAGGGTGAGGCAAGGTAGTTACAATCTGCAACTACATCACTAGATTCCACTAAATCCTACACACTGGACCTTTAAGAAAGAGTAAGTATCATGGAGCAATAAGAAATGTGTTCATCCTTTTTCGTTTCTTTTAGTTCACAGCTAATGTAGTCCTGTCAAGTCCAGGATGATGTATGTCACAATTTTGTCATGTACTGTAGCAAGTAGTCTGTGTTGTAGTTGTGGTAGCAGTAGTCTATGAATAAAATCATAATTTCAAGTCCATCTATATTTTTTACAGTGGTCAGCCTTTGTTGTCTTAATGAATTTGTAAAAATGGCTTTCTTTCCCAAAACACTTCTGGTAGTCTACGTATCATTTACAAGGTCACAAAGTATATGTATGGATCTTCTTAGCTATCTGGTCAAAACAGCAGAACCAGATCCAGCATCTCAAGAAATTTAGACATCCCAACGTCTTCTAATCTTCTCTACAGCTAGACAGCCTGAATGTCCTCACATATCAAAGAGGGTATAGAGGTCACACTGACCCCTTTGAGTAGCACAACAGAGGCCTTAACCCTGATTTAGCAGATCACACACATAATCAATTTTGTATCACACGTTTTAAACACTGAACTGTTGTCATTTAAATGCTACAGCAATAAATTCTTAATTGTATGAAGTACAATTGTTTTTTTTGTTTTTTCTGGATCTTTGATTCCTTTTCAGAATCAGCTTCTTGGGTCATAATTCCACTGATGCCCACAAGATGGTGCTCACCACCCTGCTCTTCTCTGCAAGATCATGAAGCAAAATTAGACTGCTGGCCACATGTGCAACAGAAAAATATCAAACAGTTTCTGGCTGGATTTAATGTTGATACTTTACGACTAAGTGAGTGTGATCAGTTTTGAAAATGTGTGGACAGTGCTTTGAAATTCGTATCAGTGTAACAATGACCAAAGACAGGTTAAACTGCTGTACATCTGCAGGCAGATGTGAACCACTGCAGAAAAGACCTCCTTACTTTCTCATAACTACCCTAGACCTTTCATTATTATGATTATAATGAAAGTACACTGTGTATGAAATAATAATGGGCTCTAACAAAAACTGAGCTGACCCTTAACCAGAGGCAGAAATAAATGGTGCTTACAGCATGCTCCTTGACATTCCTTTACATCAATAAAATAACAATTAAAGCTGCAGTAGGTACATATTATAAAAATAGCTTTTTCTCATATTTGCTGAACTCTTCAGTGTGTTCTGACAGTAGTACGTGAGACAGATAATCTGTGAAAAAATCATGTTCCAGGCATTTGCAAGACGCTTTGGGTTGGAGGCTTGAAGATAGCTGATTGTTGAGTCTCATTCCCAGGGAGTCAAATACAGAGGCTGGGAATGAGACTCAATCAACTATCTTTCTTGGCTCTGATTGGTTGCTTTCGTTCAGGCTTGGTAGATTCTTGTGAATGCCATTGAGAGGGCTAGAACGAACCAGAGGATCCTGATTTTTTCTGATTATCTGTTTGTTGTTCAGCAAATATGACAAAAAGTTTGTTAGTTTAAAAGTTAGTTTAAAAAACTAGCTAACTTTAGATAAGCAAATCTAAAGTTGCAGATCTACTGCGTGGTGTGACATTAAGCAATTTAAGAGCTATAACTTTGTGTTAAGCTTTGAGGCCACAGATCATTAACATGGCCTTATTCTGAACAGGCATTGCTTCAGCAGCTCACTATAGCATATTCTTACCGTAAGCAGTAAGTTTATTTTAACATTCCCATGTAGTTTCCTTTGAACACTGATATTTTTTAGGAGACTATCTACTATCTACTCACCTGCTATGTGCTTCACACTTACCTGTGCCCGCAGACTAAGCTAAAAATGTCAACAAGAGTTATAAGTTCCAGTTCATGGAATATCAAAGTTACTCTGTGCTGGAGGAATTTCAGTGCCTGCCTGATACCTGCCTGCTGGAAGAGACCAGCTGCTGGCTGAGGCCATGGTTCAGTTGCTATGTGCCTCGACGTCTCTTAAGATCAAGCTAATTTTGAAATAATTAGGGCCCGAGCAGTGAACTGCTGCAAGGATCCTTTTTCCCTTTTTCTTTAGGATTTTATTTAAGGATCACATTTTTGAC